TATATATATATATATATATATACTAAAGTAGTATGATTTTACTCTCATCTGATAACAGCTTCAAAAATAGGATAAATAAGTCAGAAGTATGTTACCATTGAATTATGGCACTGCTTTGTATAATTTTTTTTTGGACTGACTGTTTTTGGTGCAAGTTCAGTTTGTATGCAGAAGTTAATCATTACAAAAGTCTCTTACTGTAAAATTAGGAAATATTCTTCCAGTATGATACCTTACCTCTTCTCCAAAAAAGCTTTCTTGATTAGTATTGCTCTCTATTGGTGGAAGTTTTTGCTCGCCACTAGCCTTGTAACTCCAACTTTGTTCTGCATATCTGCATGAAAATGATCATGCAGCAACTCTCCACCAATAGGAATGTGACACTACCCTTATCATAACTATTGCCCTCTCTAATAATGCACCTGTTATCACTTCTCAATTGGCAGTCTTACTGTTAAGACCTGTTTGTCTTCGCCATGCAGCTTTCAGTTAGTAAATTTTTCTTTCTCTCCCGATACTTTTTATTGAACTTGTTTGAATTTATACTTTGTAATTATGCACTTGTAATTTCATGTAGTTACAACTACCACTGCTGTTACTGCACCCGCTGATTTACTGACCACGTTTTCAGGGTCGGTCACACAGTTATTGACTGATGACATGATTACTATGATCTGTGGAGAATTATCTAATTTTATACAACATTTACTACCACCTGAGGAGTATCCTGTCATACAAGCACCCGGTGTTTCTGACAAGGAGGATGTGAATTTGGACAGCCTTTTTCCCCCTCCTGAATATGCTTCTCGGTTGTGGGTCATATCAAGTGACGTTCCCAGCCCTCATTTTCTTGATTGATATCTTGGTCAATATCTGCTTTTTCCTTCTTCACCAAATGTTGGGCATCATGCTAGTCATTTTGGGAACCAACTGACATCGGGGAGCAGAATTTACTATCTCCCTTGTACATTGTACAATCATGCTTTTATTTTTCATCATGCCAACTACCCATATTTAGATTCCCAACATTTGGAATCTCTCATTCCTTTAGGGGGTTTGGATCATAACACTGGCCCCCTGTCTCAGTGCTCACCCCACCTTCTAACCCTTTGCCAGTCCCGACTTCTCGTCCATTTATGATGCACAATCATTTTGTTGCTCATCATCATTTTCGGGACATTCTGCATCAGTGACTCAGTACTTCGATCAGGGCCAGACTCTTCCCCATTGCTCATGTTTGGAGGTCGTTTACAGTCGATTCATGGATTTTGAAGGTGGTTCCCATAGGTCTGGCACTCTGCTTCTTGTTGTCTTCCCACCCAAGTTCCTTCCACTCTCAGTGTGATTCTGTTTTATGCCAGTATTTGTTGGAGGTAGTTCAGAATTTAATTCTTAAGGGTGCCATTGAATGAGGAGATCCTGCTCATTCAGGATTTCTTCTCATCTGTTTGTCATTTCCAACAAGATGGGAGACTGGTACCCAGTGATCAATTTATTGTCTCTGAATCACTTCCTCATCATTCCCAAGTTCACCATGGAGTTGTACTTAACTCTCCATAGAGTTTTCCTTCCAGGTCTGTGAATGATGAAGGTCGATCTGTTGGATGTATATATCCATCATCCCATCTCCCCGACATACCAATATTTCTTTATTTTGTTCATCTAGGTTGTGTTTTTTCAGCTCCCTGTAATTTCAGCTGAGTTGTACAATCAATCGCTCAACTGGATCAGATCAATACCACTGTGTGTGTGGGTGGGGGGGGGGGTCCGTCTTCCTCCACCTTATCTGGATTGTCACCCTTTTATGGATGCTTCCCTTTCTGGTTAGGGGTGTATCTCAATTGTCAGGAGGTTTCAGAATGGTGGACTCATACCAAATCTGTTCTCCATATCAATATATTTTTTTTTGCTGTTCATAGAACTGTCATTCAGTTTCTGCTGTCTCTCTGAGAACAGGTTGTGATGGTCCACTCATACAATTTGATAGTGGCATCCTATATCACTAGGCAAGGAATAAGAGCTTTGGATCTTCTTTATTGGGCCCACGGTCATCAAATTACTTTGCTGGGATGGTATATTCCAGGTACCCTGAATACAGTCATGGATCAGTTATCCTGACCCAACAAGATTCTAGTCTTTGGATACTGTTATTTTTCAGGAATTTGAACAAAATTGCATCTTCTCTCAATGCTCTTAACCAGAATTGGACCAATTCTTACCTATATGCTTATCCTCCTATTTGGCCACTCCTTGTTGAGTTCTGTTGGTGGCACCATATTGGCCAGCTCAGACATGGTTTCCACTTCTATGACAGCAGTTGGTGTCACCACCCATTCCTTTGTGTCATCCTTCCCTAACTGCACTCCATCTTCACACATGGCTTTTGTCTGGTCCCTTGCCAGACAGTCTGGACTTTCCAGGCATGTTGCCTCCTTGGTTTCTCATCCGGTCATTGGCAGTATATCGTAGTTATATCTCATGGTCTTTTGCTTCATAAGTTTGTTCGTTCCAGACCATATACTCATGGACTTACATGGGTAAAACTGACAGGGATTATTGCCCATCTCTGATGCTCCATGGAATTGAGGCTCTTCTTACCGTGGACTTGATGTAGAATTCCAGATGCACCAGGTGTTGGTTGAACGATTCTGTCAACATGGTAGCTCTGCTTTTCAAAAATAGGATATCGCAGTCATCCATTGCACTGTCTCTTGTGCTGCAGTCCTCTGGAATCCCCAACACATTTTTCCCTCTTTCTTCTAGTGGAGTATGGGAGTCCTTGCTACTTACCAGTTTCTAGCTGCTGGGGTGATGGACCATGGATGCCTGTCCTCCTGAGGGTAAACAATACTACTCAGTATGAGAGTAAGGCAATGGCATTCTGCTGGTGTTGATGGCATGATGCCTTTCCTACCACAGACCTGATGTATAATTCCAGATGCTGCTAGCTGTTGGTTGTAGCACTCTGCAATGCCTATGTATATATATATATACACACACACACACACATACATATATATTAATTAGCCCCCTCCAGCTGAAGCATTCCTCTATTCTACCATTCTTCGGATGTCGGTTTCTGGTGAATCAGGTGTTGGTTGGAGATGGTCCAGCCACGTAAGTCCTCACATGTGTTTGGCTGGTACCTTCCTCCTACCTCAGATTGGACGATAAATCCTCAGTGCTGCCAGGATTTGGATTGGAGATGCAACCCTAAATCACAGTCCCTCTTCCTACTGTCCTCTAGATTTCAGTTCCAGGTGGAACTGGTGTTGGTTGGAAGCTGGACGAGACCCATTTAAGACTGGGTTTCCTGCTCCTATCTTGGACTGGATGGCACGTTCCCAATGCTGCCAGGTCTTAGACCGGAGATGAATGTCTCCTGAGCTCTTTTTACTTCCTACCAGCTGCTGGATGTCAGTTTCTGGAGGATCAGGTTTTGGTTGTGCACATGCAGAGATGGGTTTTTGGTATGGAAGCTCGTCTTCCTCCCAGTACTTGTTTTTGAAGTGAAAGGTAGATAACCCTCTTCCTACCATGGACCTGATGTACAATTCCAAATGCCACCAGGTGTTGGTTGAGGTCAAACTCCCATTTATGGTCTGTCATGCCTTAATCACTCAACACCTGAAGGTTCTTTCTTGCTGAAAATTATTTTGGGGCCCCTCCATATTTCCACCCTTTATGTTTGGGCAACACATTCCTCAAGTGCAAATAGTATGCCTGGCTTAGAAGTGGTGCAGTTTCTCACTGGTATGTTGTTTTTAATTCCTTACCACACCTCATGGTCTTTCTTTATGGGCACTTTCTAAAGGAAAATCATATTCTCACCAGCCCTCCACCAGTTCCAAGAGGGATTTTAGCCTTTTGTGAAAGGAGGTAAGATGTCATATCGGAACTTAACATTTTCCTAAACTGAAAATGTATTTCCGATAGATACTTACATGTGCTCACATTTCCCACCTGTCCTTCCCACTTCTGGTGTATTGATTGACTTGGTCATGACCAATGTCAAAGTGATTAACAGGTGCATTATTACAGAGGGTGCTAATTATGAAAGGGGTAGTTTCGCACTCTTATTGATATAGGCTTGCTGCAAGATCATTTGCACGTAAATAGCAGAAAGAAGTGGGAGTTACAAGGCTAGTAGCAAGCGAAAAAATTTTGCCGATAGAGCCCAGTACTAATCAAGAAAGCTTTTTGTGAGAGGAGGCAAGTATCTATCGGAAATAAATTTTCAGTTTAGGAAAATGTTAAGTTTACTAACAACATATTCATAACCAGGTTTTTTGTTTCTTAACATTGTAAATAATTGTAAAAGTTAAGTTGTTTTCTTAAAATCATAAATGAATTGTGAAAACTGAAGTTGTTTTTGTTTCTTGTTGCCAGCAGATGGATTACCAATACAGGGTGGGTTGACCATTATGTCATTTCTTTTTTTTTAGTCATATTTTTAATGGAATGTATAAAACAACAAATTAGAATTCTTAGATTGTATTTGCAAAGGGATATAATATGTAGACTTACAGGCAGCTTTTGTGTATGACATTATTAAAGAATTAATATAGTACTTAAGTTTCACTGTTTCCGTCATAATACTAAATGGAATTTGATTAACTAAAAACATTTTTTTATTTTCTTCTGTTTCCATCACTTATTTTTTTATTTCTGTTAATTTAGGTATGTTATGCAGTAATCTGATAACAGCTTTTCTTAGTATGTAAAAAGAAAATATTGATGAGCTAATTTATTTTATACCCTTTTCATTATTATCTGCTTTTGGCTTTTTTACTCTTAGCAATTTTTTGTTTCTTATCTCTATATGATTTGCCTTGCATTTTTTTTTTTTTTTGCTCAGACCAGTTGAACACATCAACAGTCAGTGAAAATGAATTCAGTGCAAGTAGTAAGTATTTGTTTTAAAATAATACTCGTATAGCTGTTACAAACTAGCCTCCTAAATACCAAAATCAGTTAATGTGCTTAGTTTTGATTTGAATACCTGAAGCTATTTTAAGTACTGATTTTCTAGTTTAGGAAAGTTTTTCTGTGTTCTTGCAAGGGAGGAGAGGGGGGATACGTATGAACATTATGTCTTTCAGTTGCTTTTAATTTGGAAGCATATGATTTGAATTATGTAAGATTTTGATTACTTTAAGCTACTTAAGCTGGGACATTTATATTAATGGTATTTGTCTGTAAAATACTATAGTATTGTATAGGAGTGTTCACACAAAAACTGAATTTCTTTTCCTGTTGGCCATCTTTATCAGATTTTGATTTTTGCCACAAAAAAAAACTACTGCTGTTTGTGGCCAGCCTAATTTCATCTCATCTCTGATGCTTGTTTAACCAGTCTTAAATCTCATGATCCAAGCATAATATCATGTACATGATAAGGAGTTATCACCATACACATTTTTACCCTTCTTTGTTAGTAATGTCATTATATTATGTTTTTCAAAGCTAGTTTTGCTTGAGCTTACCATTTTGTAATTGTATTACATGCCACCAATCTTGGAAATGTGTAACATATGATGCCATTAGCAGTGGAAGGTTATGAAACTATTAACATAACCATTTGTTGTCACAATTTATTCATTGCTATTACTTGGGAGAGAAAATCCTCATTCTTTCTGAATGCCCTTCATATGTTACTCTGTAACTAAACCAACTAATCATATAATTTTCTATAAACTGTATTGTAAAATAAAATTAACTTAGGACAAAATTCTTAATTAACTTGGTTCTCTTTCTTCTCTGTGGTTGACCATGAGGAGTTTCATCTATTTGCCATATATGCTGTGAAAGAGTGAAAATATATCAAAAGTTAAAATTATTTATCAATGCCAGAGTGAAAGTGTTTACTTACAAAACAAAAAACTCCAGAATTTAGTCTATTTTATGACTTAGAGTCTTAAAGGATTTATCATAATAAACATCAAACATCTGTAATCAAAAGATAGAGCAGATAGTATTAGGTTGTCAAGAAATTAATGTCATTTTCTTAGATGAAAAACTCAGAACAACTTATATATATCAAAACAAAACATTTATTACATGAAATATTCTCCATTCTTATTGATAATGCTTTTCCATCTTACAATCAGGTTGTTAATGCCCGATTAAAGAAATCACTTGGCTTTGAAGCAAAAAAAAAATGTTGCTGTCCTCTTTAACACCTTCCACACTTGCATTAAGATGGTGTTGCAGCGAGCAAAAAAGATGGCAATCTGATGATGCCATACTTGGAGAATATGGTGGGTGGGGGAGAACTTCACAACTCAACTCTATAATCTTATGTTTCGTCAAACATGCCACATGCAGACGTGCATTATCGGGAAGAAGAATAACACCTTTCCGATTGATAACTGAAGGACGTTTCTGATGAAGGGCTTGATTTAAATATTCCAGTTGCTGACTATAGGTCTTGCATTGACAGTTCACTGTGTATTGAGGAGTTCCAAATGAATTACTCCTTTGATGTCCCACCAAATGCAAAGCATCACTTTCTGTGAATGGAATGCAGGTTTTTGGGTCAAAAGTGGTTTTTGTCTAGGACTGCACCATTGTTTTTGGCATTTAATATTTGCATAGAGAATTAATTTTTCATTACCGGTGACAATTCTGTCCAAAAATGATTCACGCACATTACGTGCCAGAAGAGACGAAGCAATGT